TGCCCCACCTATAATCTTGCTCAGGCTGTTTCAAAGACTGTCGTCTCATTCTCACCATCAGGCGTTTCATCCTCTGCCCAAGAAGGCTACACACACAAGCAAGTTTGAACATGCTTTTATTGGTGGCCAGAAAGCAGAGCAGGAGGTAGCGCTGTTGGGCAGTAGCGGGAGGAAGGGAGTAATGTGAAACTGTGTGTACTTGGAACCTGTGTTTTTACCTTGCCACGGGGACATTCCTTGGCGCAGAAGCCTGTGCCTGTGACATGAGGGCATCCCTGACTCCACTTCAGATGCCCCCGCAAGCCTCTGAGCATCAGCAGATGTTTGATGCGTTGTGGAAATGGGGCACTGAGCATTTTAGTCAGAGGAGGAAGAGTCAGGGAGGTCTTGGAGAGCAAACTTCCTCAGCTCTTTACGTATCCAGGGCTCAAAATGGGACACTCTGGTAAATACTTTAGGGAAGATGCAATATTTGAGTCCATAAGAAACAATGCCATGAGCCTTCCCATTGCAGACTAATGGGCCACCAGAATCACCCTGTGAGGTAAAAGGAGTGGGAGGGGTCAGACATGTCAGAGCACAGCTCCCCCTGCCCTAAGGAAGAAACTGGCCCTCTTGCCTCCTTCCGTGTGAAGAACCTTCTCTTTTGACCATCTCCCTCCAGACCCAGCTCTGCAGAGCTTGTAGCTGCCTTACTACTCCTCTAAGCTGATCCGGGAAGCAATTCAGGCCTGGAGGCCATCTGAGATTCAAAAACTGCCTTCACAACCCTGAAAAGGAGAATCTGGTCCTACTTTAGACACGTGGGAATATCCGAGCCATCCCACTTGTGTCGGGAGGTTTTAGACGAGATCTGGAGCCTGAGGCTGGGTAAATCGTTTGGAAAGGCAGTTGTATCTACTTGCTGGCTTGACTGGAAGAGGCTGAGGGAGAGGAGGGACGGCAATTCCAGCCAGCAGGGATTGAGACTGACATTGCGTGCCCCACCTATAATCTTGCTCAGGCTGTTTCAAAGACTGTCGTCTCATTCTCACCATCAGGCGTTTCATCCTCTTCCCAAGAAGGCTACACACACAAGCAAGTTTGAACATGCTTTTATTGGTGGCCAGAAAGCAGAGCAGGAGGTAGCGCTGTTGGGCAGTAGCGGGAGGAAGGGAGTAATGTGAAACTGTGTGTACTTGGGACCTGCGGTTTTGCCTTGCCACGGGGACATTCCTTGGCGCAGAAGCCTGTGCCTGTGACATGAGGGCATCCCTGACTCCACTTCAGATGCCCCCGCAAGCCTCTGAGCATCAGCAGATGTTTGATGCGTTGTGGAAATGGGGCACTGAGCATTTTAGTCAGAGGAGGAAGAGTCAGGGAGGTCTTGGAGAGCAAACTTCCTCAGCTCTTTACGTATCCAGGGCTCAAAATGGGACACTCTGGTAAATACATTAGGCAAGATGCGATCTTTCCCTCCATAAGAAACAATGCCATGAGCCTTCCCATTGCAGACTAATGGGCCACCAGAATCACCCTGTGAGGTAAAAGGAGTGGGAGGGGTCAGACATGTCAGAGCACAGCTCCCCCTGCCCTAAGGAAGAAACTGGGCCCTCTTGCCTCCTTCCGTGTGAAGAACCTTCTCTTTTGACCATCTCCCTCCAGACCCAGCTCTGCAGAGCTTGTAGCTGCCTTACTACTCCTCTAAGCTGATCCGGGAAGCAATTCAGGCCTGGAGGCCATCTGAGATTCAAAAACTGCCTTCACAACCCTGAAAAGGAGAATCTGGTCCTACTTTAGACACGTGGGAATATCCGAGCCGTCCCACTTGTGTCGGGAGGATATGACAAAGGATTTACATGAGATCTGGAGCCTGCTGGAGCAGTGGCTAGGCTGGGTAGAATATCCCCAGGTATGTAAAAAGGCACACGATGCTGACAACTTGCTGGGCAACTGCACCCCAGTTCAGTCAGCATGTCAGTCTCAGAGCTCCTGAGAGGAACCTCAGCACATCATCCTGAAGAATCTAGTTCATTTTAATCCCCTTCATCCCCGGCCTGAGAACCAACCTGACTGCATAGTCCCAACCTCATCCCAAGCTTGGAGCCCAAAACAACACTTACACGGAAAGTTGATTTTTTGCCATCCTCATCACCAACACAGATCACAGACGGCTGCAGATGTTTTCTTTTGAAAGACTCCTCACACACTTTCTCTCTCTGCACCTTCAGGTCCACCTCCATCAGCACACTAGTCTTTTCCTGTGTCGTCGATGTCCAGCCCCAGCCAGCCACTTTGCATAGAGTTCCTGGTTTCACACGCTCGTTGTGGCTTGGCAGTTGGATCGAGCTCACTGCCTTAGTCAGCTTGGCCCTCGGCTTCAGCTGCCAAGCAGAGAGGACATAGGGTTAGAGCAGGCAAAGGAATGGGAACAAGTTCGTGGGGTTGGGGAAGTGAGCCGGGGGAGATCCCTTGGGCAGCAAAGATGTGTGAGGGCATACCTTCAGCAGCATGATGTCATTTTCAAGGGTAGCCTCTGAATAGCTGGGGTGGATGACCCAGTGGCCAACCTGGAATTTCTGCCAGCTCGGCTCTCTCTTATTTATGTTGTGGGCTCCCAGGGTCACGGTGATATTCACTTTCCTGCCAGAAAACACCAACATGTTCCAGCTGCACTGACCACAGCCACATGGCCCCCATGTTAGGTGGTTTGAGGGAGGTGGTGGTGGGATCTGTCTCCCCAGAGATTAGTTCTCAGCAAGTTGCCCTCTGTAGCCTGGGTTCCTTCCACAATTCAACTGAGGGTCCCACGTCCCATGCTGACGTAGGTCTGAGGTGTCCCATTCTGAAGACAAAGGGGAAGCAGGGAGTGGGAGACACAGCCTCTCTTCTCCAACAGTAGCTCTGAGCCATGGTAGGAACCATGGACCGGGAGACCACTGCCAAAGAGTCCTGTCCCAGGCACACAGCCCCTGCCAGGCAATTCTTGCCACTCACAGGGGATGGCTGGGCTCACAGAGAGCCCTGCTGTGCCTGAAGAGACACAGAGTACTCTCTCACCCCAGACCAGGACTGTGGCTCTTCATGACTGTGGGAGACTTGAAAAAAATCCCATGTACCACAAAGACAGGGCCTTACCTTTTTCCAGCCACACAGTGAGCTGCTGAGAGCACTGCATCTGGGCGAAGGAGGAACCCTCCGCATTGAAATATAGCGGACTCACTTCCAATTTCTAAATAAGCCATGTAGGGCCTGGAGTGGGGCTTAGCTTCCCGTCCGCCAATGATCCTTCCTGGAAGAGAGATGAGAAGTGTTAATAGCACATATGCCACTATTTCCCGTCAAGTTCGGAGCTGCATGAGGAGAGAGGGTCATCCTCTGATGTCATACGCCAATGATGCCAATAACTCTCCTTCCTTGGGCTGTCCAAAGCATTGCTTATGCACAATGGAGAGAAAAACAAGCAACACTTCCTGGGGATGACTCACCACAGCTGACTCTGGATGTCTGAAATGCTAGCAAAGGGCACTGTGCTAGTACCTGTAAGGCGTCACTGCTGTCAGGCACAGTCTGAGCTGAGACATATGAGTAGAGTAGAGAGCAGAGATATGAGAAAAGGCAAGGCAGGTACCAGACAGCTTTCCTACTCGGTGCCCATTTCTGCCCTTGCATGTCCTCATCTAAATCCCCTCTCTCTGTACTCACCAGCCCCGGCCCACGGGACAAGGAGAAAAGCACTTGTCAGCAGGAGAAGCAGCATCTTCTACCGCTGTCCCAAAGAGCCAAAGCAGTTGTTACGGCCAGGCAGGAGACAGGTACAGAATGGCAAGCTATATAGACGAAGTTTGGAGCTGAAACAGGAAACCGCAGCCGGCTTTCAGCTTGTGTCATTTGCTGCTTTTGTTCTTAGAAACCACAGACTGTGGTTTGCTCAGGGGTTCATGTCACTATCTTTCATTTTTGGTGCCATCTCCTCCAAAATCTGGAGAGATGTGTGCTTGTTCAGAGCACCCAGAATGCTCAGTACCCAGGCAGCAGTGAGAGGAGTGGGATACGTCCAGTCAAGTGCATATCTCATTGGACACCCTTGGCGAGAGCCTCCTTGGATCCTAGATATGGGTTGTTTTGGGTTTTTTTTGTTTTTTCCTTTTCTGTTTTTCCCTGTCCCCTGATAGGAGCAGTGAGAGCTGAACAGGGCTAGGCTGAGATCCTGGTTCTTATCGGAGGGGCTGACTGCCATCAGAGGTGCCCTTGGGATATCAGAAATCACCTGTCAGAGTAGCTAAGGCACAGGACCCGCCGGAGACTCACAACCTTGAGCACAATTGTTCTTATCACTAGTGAAAGATAAGCTGGTTTTCCATCAGAGCTTACTCATGACACCGAGTGATAGACTCACGCAGGCGAGCAAGGACCTCAGGAGGTCATTCGGTCCAACCTGATGCTCAAAGCAGGGTCAGCTATGAGGTCAAAACTGCCCTGTGCTTTATTCAGTCAGGTCTCGAAAACCTCCATGTGTCTGGGAGCAACAAGAAGGGGCAGCTTCCTGAGTGAAAGGGAGGGAGTAGCCAAGAGAGAGAACAAGGCAGGCAGAGGCAGTGGCTTTGCCAAAAGGGCCCCAGTCCCTTAGTATTCCTGTGACAAGAACAAGGGAAGCCTGGGGATAATAGTCAGGGTCAGGTGAGGGTCCAGATGATCAGACAAGTCCATAGGGATGAGGAAAGTCTGAGGTCAAGCTGGGAAGTCAGTTCATGGGCGCATGTCCCGATCAGCAGGTTACATGGCCAGGCAGAGGCATGGCTGAGACACAGCTGGAGCTGGAGCTCAGGTGGGGACCTGATCACCCAACCTGTTTTTACCCATCCGGTTGTCCACTCACTCAGATCATAACGTCCTAATCCAGACAGAAGAATATCCTGGCAGACAGTGTGAAAAGCCTTGCCAAAGTCAAGGTAAATGACACTCACCGCTCCCCCCGTCCGTAATGCCATAATTAGGGAAGGCAATCTCATTGATCACGCCTGTTTTACCCTTGGTAAATGCATGCTGACCGTTCCAATCCCTTTCCTCTCCTCCATGTGCCCTAATGTGCATTGCAAGAGGACTTACTTGCTCCATGATTTTTCCAGACTTCTTAGAAAAAGTCTGCTTCTCCTGTTTGCTGGCTTTCACCTTTCGACCTTTTCATTCTTCTAGAGCCTGCCAGCACGACATCTAATCTCGGTTAATCTGCTTCCTGGAAGCTTTTTAACCGCACAGCTTCTGTCCCAGTGAGAGATAAAGCAGAAAGCTGCAAACCACTTTGCTTTCTGTGATGTGTGCGATTGTGTCATCGGAGGAACACAGGCCCAAACTGAGGAGACGTTTCAGACAACACCAAGCCGCAGCACTGAACGATAATAGACACTCGAGCAAACCCATACCCCTCCTCAGCCTTCTGATGTTTCCAGCAAAGTGCTGATGTTCTCTGCAATTCCTCTCTTGGCTGGTAACTCAAACAGCTGTAAAGTAAGAGACTGTGTCTTCCCAGGCAAGAAGATACGCTGCAAGGCTTGTGACCTCTTGAATGGGCCTGTGCAACCACGCTACTGAGCACATGGGCTGGAGCATGTCCGGGCTCTGCTTGGTGGTGCCATTGTAGAATTATTGTACCCTGCACCCATGTATTTTTCTGTTCCAAATATCGGAAGGGTCAGAGTGGACATGCTTGTGTTGCAGCTTACCAGAGCAATGTTTTGAAAGGTGAGCACGGAGAATGTGTACTGCCTCTCTTGGGATGTGTCAGGAGGCATATGGGAGGCGACTGAGGCCTCAAGACCCACTCAGACAAGCACAGAGGACTGTGAAAAGCAGAGGGACACATACCTGAGCCGTGCCATTCACACCAGCTAACCGGAGGCATCCCTGGAACTGACTGCTCCGAGACTCACAGGGAAATCTCAGCTTGGAGGTACCTGGTTGATTTGCTGTAAAGCACAGACTGAGCGTGCACCCATGCTTTGTGGGTGCTCAGAGTACCAGAACCTGGGCATGAACTGGAGGTTACCTTCCATGAAAATGAAGACACATGGTCTGTCCCTTGCCATGAGTGGAGCAGAGTGTACCAGAGGTAGATGGCTTTTAAAAGACTGAACTTCAGCAAGGTGAATCCAGGCACATCTTTCCACTGCTGCAAATGAATCAAAAGGCAAGTGGTCATCAGAAGTACTGACTGAGGACAGGACACCGCTAAGGCGCTGAGGGAGTGCAGCTGATACCCAGCAGAGGCAGAGACCTCCTCCCCTGGTTGTGATCAGAAGGGACAGTTTCACTGCTGATGCCTGTGAGTGGCGGAGCAGTCCGTAGCTTTGGCAGAGGGCGCAGGTGAGAGACTGAGAAGACAGAGCTCCGAATGGGACTCCAGGTTCTGCTGCCCTCGGGCGAGTACCCTTCCTGGCTTTTCACATACCTTTTTACAGCTCTCCTGGCTGCAGCACAGTGCCTTTAGTCACTGAAACACTACCCGTTTCTTCACACTTCTAAATTGTCCAGGCCTCTGCCTTTCCAGGGACTGCAAGGGGTCTGGCTCCCCTGTTCCCGCAGAGGGCGTGCATCCAGCCATGCCCACAACAAGTCCCTCACCAAAACACGGAATTCAGACTCCGAAGTCGCAGTGCTGCAGTGGTACCTTCATTGAAGGCAATCACAGGAGCCAGAAAATTAGGACAAATGTGTTTGACTCTCATTCCCGCTAAAATGTGAGAGGTGGCCAGGTGGCCTCCCAGGTTTCCATGCAACATTAACTGTTAGGATTGGGGGTACATGGAGGAGGAAGAAGGGTCCTTCCACTGCGTCTCTGTGCTTGGCTTTGGGCTTCGTCCGAGAAGCAGGGGACACTGTCTTTCCACAGCAACACAACTGACGGCTAAGCTGAGAAGCCAGCTCTGACCTGTAGTTTCTCTGACATGACTTTGTCTTTGATTTTGGCCCCTTGCAGGCTGAGGAACTTTACTGCCTGCAGGCTGAAGGGACTTATTACGGGACACCAGAAGCAGCATTTGGGGATTGTACAAAAGATACTATGGGATGTTTAAAGCAAGGGTCAAAGGTGGGGAAAGGGAAGGACCAAGGCGGCCTGCGGAGAAACGTGTGTGGGAAAGGGGGGAAGAGGGGATGAAAGGAGCTGGTCGTGTATAAACAGGCAGCTTGTCGGTGCAGTTGACTGGCCATGTCTTGTCTTCTCAGGAAACTACATGTCTCTAATGTTTTTGAGAATGAGTTCTCTAAGCCCCAAGCCCATGAGAAGAGCAGGAACCATGACTCTGTCGCAGCGCTTTGGGAACTGACAGACCACATATACGTGCTGCATGAGGCTTGCTTTGAAACCCTACAGGAAAACCTGACTGCTCAGAGGTTAAACCTGAGTGCTCAGATTGGTTAAAGGTTGCTTAAAGATTAAAGCCTTGTCTGAGTGCCAGCAAGCAGAGTGGGGACCATGAGTCACCCGGCTCCATGTGGCCGGGGTGTCAGGAACTGGAGAGGCCAGCCAGCCTGCCTGAGTAGGGTAAGAGACTTGTAAAGCAGGTATGGAAGTGGCCTAAATTTTGGCTTGGTACCAGACATACTCCAGGGTTCAAGAGCTGGCTACTGAAGGAACCGGCAGGACCAAGCCAAACACTGCAGAGGCCATGAGGTCGGGACATCACCTGAGACACCCATTTGCGTGTGTGTGGCTGAGTGTGTGAGGCAAGTGGAGATTGGAGGCTCCAAAGGCCAGCTGCTGTGTAGGCCGAGTGTCTAAGGCTGGTTACGGGGGGACACATCACACATACGTGTCTGTGCATGTGTTTGTGTGCGCAAGTGGGTCTGTGTCCCGGCAGCTGGAGTGGGGTTGGGGACCGTAGGGGCTTGCGTGCACAGGTGCCGGCAACTGGGAGACCTGGGATCCAGAGCGGCTACTGGGTCAACTGAGTACCTCAGCGAAGCTGTGGGGAGATTCCCAGTGTGCCCGTGTGCAGGGGGTTGCTTGTGTTTGTGTGGGGGTGGTAGGTTGGTGTGGGTGAGGCAGGAGGGTCTGTACCAGCATCCGTAGTGGTGCTGGACCTCAGGGCTCGCATGCCCAGGTACCAGAAACTGGGGATGCAAGGGCAGGCACTGCACACCCTGAGTGTCTAGGGCAGGGACTGGGAGATCTGTATTGTATGTGCTTATGTATTTATGTTTACACTCGTATGTATGCCCCACTGACAGACCCTCATCCTGATCAGCCAGAGGTGAACCAGTTGAGGCTGCTGGTGCCGTCAGCGTTTGCAGAGTGTTTCTATCCACACTGAGCTGTGTGGCCAGCCTTCAGATATAGTGCTGCTTGGGGTGCAGATGTGAATGTGCCTGGAGGGGCCCCGCTGCTCTGGGGCTCCCTGGCAAGAGCCACTGCTGCTGCCGCTCACAGTCCCTGGGCTGGGCCCTAGGTCCGGTCTGCAATGGCCCCTGCAGCTTGGCGTGAGGTGTCCTCTGGGTCCCCAGCTCTCCGGACACTGCTGTCTCCAACAGCTCTCTCTGCTTTGGCATGAGAGGAACCAAACTTTGGGCATCCATTCGGAAGTGGCAGTAAATTGGGCATTGCATGAGATCTTCCATTTACTCCTCCCTTCTCTCACCTCAGCTCTCATCACGGACCTTTCACTGAATGTTTCAGATTCCTTCCACCAGCACTCCCCAGGGAAGCCCCTGTCCAACGCAGAGTATGCCCTTGGAGTCATCCTAGGCTTATAAAAATAATTA